ACACAGAGGAGCGCGACAGACCGGTATGTGTGTATGTATGTATGTGTGTGTATGTATGTGTGTATGTATGTGTGTATGTGTGTGTGTATGTATATGTGTGTGTGTGTGTAAGTAAATGTAAGCTCCAATGTAGTTCTGACCCGCGCCAGTGTGCAACTTTGACGGTAACAGAGGGGAGAGATGATGCGTGTGGATGTTACGTATGGAGAGGGGAAAGTGTGTGTGTGTGTGTGTGTGTGTGTGTGCGCGCGTGCGTGTGTGCATATGTGGCTCGTGCGGCGTGAGAGTCGTCCCGGAGTTTATAATACATGGGCGCACACAGCTAGATACAGACCCGCTCGTCACACCGTGCAAATAGGGCTTAAAATAGCGTTATTAAGAGACCTCCCCTCTCCCCTTTTTCTCTTTTTTAACCGACAGCTTTGACCGGTTAACGCTGTGACGGTCAACCACCGGTTAAACGGTCGCCGATTTACATCCCTATCCCATACCTTTACTTAAATACATATTTGGTTTCATACTCTATATATTTTGATATGAAAGCATCCATCTTATAGAAATCTACAGCTGGATGACCAATACCGATGACAATGATGACAATACCACATAAAACAACTTTTGAAAGTACTGATTGACCAACCCGCCATATTTGCATGTCTGGAAGTCTTATCAACTGGCCTAAATCATGCCTGTATGGAATGTCGTCATGGTCACCACTTTGTGTGTGTGTGTGTGTGTGTGTGTGTGTGTGTGTGTGTGTGTGTGTGTGTGTGTGTGTGTGTGTGTGTGTGTGTGTGTGTGTGTGTGTGTGTGTGTGTGTGTGTTGAAATAGGTTCATAAATGAGTGGAATTATTAATTTTGCTGAAGGTCACAAAAGGCATATAAATGATTCATCTCCTTTCAAAATGGGAACATTCAGTTTATCCCATTTTTGCAACGATCTAATTTGTATTGACCATGAAATGTCTCCGAAATCTCTCAATGACACATTAAGATGAGCGCCTGAATGGCACGACAAGGCTGTTCATTCTTTATCCGATCCAACAAACGCGCTGTTTATTCCCGTTACAAAGTGCTCAAGCTTATCATTCCAATGTTTTGTGGAGTTGTGTCACCAGAAAGGCATGATGTCTTTTAAACATTTTTTGAAACATGAAAATGAATGTCTATCATGTTCCTGTACGTTGACAGATTTTTTACAAGACGGGAAGAACTGAAAAGGACTGTCTACACAATGGTGCGGAACAATGACTTGAGTTAAAGAGAGAAGATACATTTGCGTTTCTTTACTTATGCAGCAGATAGCAATGAACTAAAAGCCTCTCTGAAATAGTGAGTCACCAAAGTTTTGCCGTCCTTCCCCATTCTGTGATTGGTCCCCAAATTGATGCGAAAATTTAAGCCAGGGTTTCAAGGTTGTTGTTTTTTGTAAAGATTCCAGTGGACATGTGTATGTCCTGGCTATCCCCTAACCTCAAAGGCCAAGGTATACTTTATCAAGGGAAATCTATTCTCTGCATTAGTCACATCCCATGATTCCTAGATTGGTCCCAACCATTCATCTCCAACCTGTCTAGAGCCTGAATATATACAAGCCGAAAGGTCCTGGGGAGACCTGTACCTGAAGAGTTCTCTGCATGTGGAGTTGGACACATCCAGAGCACCAGAGCACAGCAACTTATTGTGTGAACATTTAACACTTACCCACCATGCCACCAAACTATGTTTTCAAGTACACAGATTATAACGTATGATACATGTGTAGGAGATCTGGGAGCCCCCTCTTGTCTTAAGTTAGGCCTAGTTAGTGAACACAGGTTTACCTTTTAGAATATGGCACGCATTTGTTAGAACAAACACAAGGCTTATTCTAATCAACTCTCCATCTAAGGTTTTCTTATCCTACACACGGACTGACTTCGATACCTTTTACTGTGATTAGCTATTTTCCTACAATTCATTATAGTGTTTTGTTAATTAAGTATATTTTCATTTGATGTGAAACAGAAAAAAAGATGGAGCCTTGAAGCTTAAGAAATGGAAGTTTATGAAATACAATATATGTAAGAAAAATGTAGGGAAATGCAAGTGGGAAGCCAGGTTGCTGTAGAAAGTGTCCTGGACTTCACCAAAACAATTGGATACATTTGTGATGCTGGTTTTAGATTTTGATACATCTCTGAACACGCATACTATGACTTAAATGCTTCCATTCATAATCACTCAACAAAATGGTTGAAAACGAATATGAGTGGTATTGGGATGGTTTGGACAGCAAGGCCAGTGAAAACAGATGGTCTGCATACGGAGGAGGAGGAGGTGGCGGACAGTGCATCTCAGAGCACATATTGACGGACACATTTACTCCCTTTACTCCCACCATTATGGTTCAGTGCGTGTAGTAATATATAAAGGTTTCCTGATGCGTCAATCAGCTGTCGGGACCTATTCCACAGAGCAGCCTGCACCTGTCACCAGGCTCCCTCAATGATTCTCTGAACAGTCACAATGCTCAGCCACACACAGGAGTGAGAAGATCTAATGTTTAAGGATCAAATAGTAAGGCATCAACTATTTTTGTCATGTGCGTTGTTATATCTCATCATAGCAAATAATAAAAAATGGAAATATTGGTTGTTTAGACTTTTTTTTTTTTACAATGTATGGAAATGCTGTTTTGCAAGTTTGTTTGAACTCGTATGCTGGCAGCAGCGGGAGAGAGAAGCTATGAGGACTAATTGACAGCACGGCTATTACATAAGATAGTGACGAAGAGGGGAATAAAAGGACTTATTTTGTTTCAGTCTTCAAGAAATAATATGGAGGGGGAAAACATCATCAAACGCAGAATGCAGCGTTTTAGGGCCTCTTTTGTGACACTAAAAGGTCCCTTTTGTCGTAAATGGTCCTCTGCAGGTAAAACAATAGATGGGTGCGAATGTTTAACTTCTGTAACCAATTGGTTATGTTGCATTTATAAATACGTGACATTCTAAAACCATGTGTTTTATGACCCATCGACCTCTGTATGGGAGGCCAGTCCTTTTAAATCTAATTCTAGGTGTCTTCTTGTGGGACCAACTAAACAACAGATGGGTTCTGCTGTTTGGATTTGTCCTCCTAGCCTTGGCCCCTGCTGACGTCTGCACTATTCAACCCACTCCATCAAGAGTGGGTTGACGACTGGAGTCTGCCAGTCTACTCATTTGACATATGATAAGACACATAACCTTTCTTAACATATATTTACTTCATATTTTAGGTGATTTCATGTACTTAGATATTAGGTTAATTAGTGTGATGTGTTTTGTACTGCAATAGGTTTGTCCTTTAGGAAAGCGGGCTGTGGAGACTAATTCGGGGAGTTGTTTAGACAAGAGATGGATCTCAGACACCGGTGACAGCTGCCTGGAGACTATAAGCAATAAAATCTATAGATTGGGGAGGAGTAGTGCGTGAATGATTCTGTTTAGGTGCGGAATGGAGACGAGGAAACCAGATGGTGCAAAGGCAGATCACGGGACCGGAAGCTGCCTGATGCCACGCCCCTTCTTCCTGCACATTGACTTATAGTGAATAGCTTGAATGTGTGAAGTTAGTTTTTTAGACCGGACCAGGGACAGTGTGTGACTTTGTGTGGAGCGCCCACCCAAAGTTATACTTTTATACTTTATATAGAGAATAAGGGATAGCTACTTTTGGTCCGGACAGCTGTTTTAGATTCTTTTTGTATTAGGGAAATAAACCTTTTTGAATTTAACTTTCTGAATTTTGGTCATCTTTATAAGGGATTTTGAACACGTCATTTTTTAATACGATAGTTAGGATAATTCTGCTTCATCTTTGTTTTGATTTTTCAGTACCCTTTTTGTTGTTTTGCTTTTAGCCAAAAAGAACTGCCAAATCTTTCATACATTACACAGTTTATGTAAACTAATTTTGCAATTGAATTTTTGATTTTTTTTGTGATTTTTTTTTTTTTTTTATAATGCTAAATCTACTTGAGAGGTTTACCATGTTACGTCCCCTCATCTAAAAACAGACCTGGATTGTTTTTAGATCCCTTCACACTAATATGAGGAACTTCTTACACGAATGTCCTTTGGTCTAAAAGCTACTCAGTCCTGTGATAGTATGTCATTTTATCACTATGACGACAAAATTAATGCCCATAAGTTTTGGCAATTTCTCAAGTGACATCTTCACAATTGTGTGCTACCTTTGGAGACTGTATATTCTAAACTTGAATAAAAAGTAAATGGTCTCATTCTCATTTTGGCCACATTTTTATGAATACAATGTCTTTTAAATAGTCTTTTTACTAGTTATATAATTCAAAATAACTGGTTTGGGTTGGCAAAACTTTTTATGTTTTATTGCTATACGGATTAACAGTGTACTGCTTGGTATCTCTGGCTTCCCCCCCGACCCAGAAATGGATGGCATTACGGATTAAGCATTTCCCCACAAACTGGAATGTCACTGATTAAGATGTTTTTGAGCAATCAAATGTTCCAAAATAAACTCTCCAGGCCTTTAACAATCTTCTCATGTCTATAACTACTCCAAATCTGCCCAATAAGAGTGGCACCTTTGCACTTACAACTTTATGCCATTTGACAGGCTTTCCAAATCAGACCACGTTATACGGTGTGTTGGCTTCTGTGGCTGTAGAGCCCGGGTTTTGCTGGCCCTGCTCTTTGTGACCCATCAGAATGATTGTGTGGCGCTTTCAGGGGGCATCCATTTCACGCTCCCCATTTATTGTGGATTCCAAGCGTTCGACGGAGAGGCTGTGACCTTGCCCACCTCGGGTCGGCGGAGTGCTGATGCTTCACTACCCATGGGCTGGGCAGAAGTTATTAAAAACTCCATTACCGCCATTCAAAGGTGGACATAACTCACTCAGGGGATATCGAGATGTCAAAATCTAGATTTATTTGAGAGAGAAAAGTTGGGAAAGGTATAGAAACGGCTGCAGAAAGTCAGTCACTGCGAGATGGGTCTGTTAGCAGCGCATCTATCACAGGCTTTTTCAATAACCGCTCCTCTGTCTCCGCAGATCCTGAAAGAGGTGAAGGATGAAGATTGGGACATTGGTAATATTGTGTTCACGCTGACCAACAGGAGGTACGGAGAGAAGTGCATAGCCTACGCCGAAAGCCATGACCAGGTACATATGTCCGCTATGTCTGCAAGGATGCGATGTTGCATGTGAGACCATAAATCCTCTTTTGGTGAAACAATAAAAGTCCTCAGGTATTGCAGTTTTCACATGAGGGGACTCAAGGCAAGAAAAAATACTCATTCACCTGCAGAACAATAATCATAGTACAACAAAACAGTAAACTTTCAGTTGTATGCACAGCTAAACAGAACTGTTTTGAAGATACACATGAACCTTGTTTTCTACATAGAAGCCTGTCTCCAATCTCCTGTTCCAGTATGCTGACTGAACTCCTGTGCTTAGGCGCTAGTCGGGGACAAAACTCTGGCCTTTTGGCTCATGGACAAAGAGATGTACACCAGCATGAGCTCACTCATCCCAATGAACTCAATCATCGACCGGGGAATCCAGCTGCACAAGATGATCCGGCTGCTCACGCACGCCCTGGGAGGGGAGGGCTACCTCAACTTCATCGGTGAGTGTGCTGCAGGTGCTGCATGTATGTGGCCGTTCAGTGGAACTCTCTGTGGTGGTCTGAGTGTGTCTCATCAGGGGCTGATGTATAGTAAGGGAAAGCTGGGGACCTGTGCCTCTAGCTGCTGTGGATTTAGATAGATTCTTTATTGATCACCTGTGGAAGAAATTCAGGTGTCCAGCAGCAGAAACACATCCATCCATACAAACAAAATAAATAAATAAATCATTCTAAAAGCACGACACGGCCGTGTGGGTGCTTTTCCATTAAAAGTAGTATCTCCTCACACTCGTAACATTTGTGCTGTGTATGGATCTATTATAATATCGGTGATAGCTGGCTACTCCCTCCTAGGGAACTCTGCTTACCCCCTGCAGAACTGGCTCCTAAAACCTTTTCAGGACACCGGGCAAGTATTTAATAGAATATTCAGCACAGCACAGTGGTTGTTGAATTTTTTTTCGGCAGTCTTAAAGGAATGACTCGGACACTGAACATGTGAAGTCAATGGTACTGACTTGCTGTGCTCTGCATAATCTGCGAAAACCATGGAGTGACCTGTGACAGAATGGGACACACTTGTAGCAACAGCAGCAGAGGAGGGCAGATGTTATCCAATTTGTCGCGTTTTGTCATATGCCTAAACATTTATTTTGTCCAAAAATAAAACCTTTTTGTATTTAGCAAATGTCTCCATCCTTGTTCATAAATTTACCAAGGTTATACTGATTTATTGACAAATGACATGTAAATAGAAGAAAGAATATATGGTAGAAATCCTAACTTATGCTTTTGAACCCCTTTTCTGCATGTGTACAGACAAATGAATGAAACAGTCTTGATACAATCACACTTTTATTAAAATCGAAAGTAAAGTGCAAAACCAACAATTCAAAAAATGTCTTTTGAATGTCTTTTGTCTTTTGAGTATGTCTTGAGTACTAAAAAAACCGCTAAACCAATTTAATAAGGACATATACTGTAAGTCCCTTTGAAACGTTTGTGTTTGTGTTTTTTGTATAAGCAGCAATATGCTCTGACATGTTGGGAGCAAGGGGCGACAGTAGCTCAGTTCCACCTCTGCACCTTCTCCATCGACTCCCACTGATGACTGCTGTCGTTGTGTCCTTGGGCAAGACACTTAACCCCACTTTGCCAAAAGCCCCCACTGAAAGATCAAGGCTATGCTCACACTCAGAGAGCAGCCGTCCTCCTGTGGACTCACCACCTGCAGAGGGTCAGTGAGGGGCTGGTGCTATGAGACTTGGGTGGCATCTCTGACTGTCACCCCCCTGACCCAGAAATGGATTAAAGGGTAGAAAATGGATGGATGGATGGATGGATGTTGGGAATGTCTGTAATAAGAATGACGATTGGGAAGATGTTGTTACTGCAAACATTCATATGGATTGTTGGTGAATAAAGACTACGGTGACCCTAAGGTGCACCCTGCTCTGTGCAGCTGAAGTTGTCTAGAGTCATTACAATACAGAGCACGTCATATTAGGGTGTAACAATTCAGAATTCAGTTTGATTCTATTGATAATGCATAAAATAGTGGACATTATCTTTCTCTTATTTATGCTGGAATTACTTCCTCAACCTCCTCAAACACTGCTATTTAATGTTGTTAAGGTGGACCGTGAACTCATGGGGAAAGCCTACGGCCACAATCACTTGCTGCCATTTTCAGTTCTGATTTAGTTATGGTTTACTCCAGTTTCATTCCAGGTTTAGTTGGATTAAGTTCTCCCTGTTTTCAAGTGTTTTCCACCTCTATCTGACCTGCAGGTGACCTGTGTGTAGTGTTACTTAAGATATACAGTGCCTTGCGAAAGTATTTGGCCCCCTTGAACCTTTCAACATTTTGCCACATTTCAGGCTTCAAACATAAAGATATAAAATTTTAATTTTTTGCCATGAATCAACAAGTGGGACACAATCGTGAAGTGGAACGAAATTTATTGGATAATTTAAACTTTTTTAACAAATAAAAAACTGAAAAGTGGGGCGTGCAATATTATTCGGCCCCTTTACTTTCAGTGCAGCAAACTCAGTCCAGAAGTTCAGTAAGGATCTTTGAATGATCCAATGTTGTCCTAAATGACTGATGATGATAAATAGAATGCATCTGTGTGTAATCAAGTCTCCGTATAAATGCACCTGCTCTTTGATAGTCTCAGGGTTCTGTTTAAAGCGCAGAGAGAACCATGAAGACAAAGGAACACACCAGGCAGGTCCGAGATACTGTTGTGGAGAAGTTTAAAGCCGGATTTGGATACAAAAAGATTTCCCAAGCTTTAAACATCTCAAGGAGCACTGTGCAAGCAATTATATTGAAATGGAAGGAGTATCAGACCACTGCAAATCTACCAAGACCCGGCCGTCCCTCCAAACTTTCATCTAAAACAAGGAGAAGACTGATCAGAGATGCAGCCAAGAGGCCCATGATCACTCTGGATGAACTGCAGATAACTACAGCTGAGGTGGGAGAGTCTGTCCATAGGACAACAATCAGTCGTGCACTGCACAAATCTGGCCTTTATGGAAGAGTGGCAAGAAGAAAGCCATTTCTCAAAGATATCCATAAAAAGTCTCGTTTAAAGTTTGCCACAAGCCACCTGGGAGACACACCGAACATGTGGAAGAAGGTGCTCTGGTCAGATGAAACCAAAATCGAACTTTTTGGCCACAATGCAAAACGATATGTTTGGCGTAAAAGCAACACAGCTCATCACCCTGAACACACCATCCCCACTGTCAAACATGGTGGTGGCAGCATCATGCTTTGGGCCTGCTTTTCTTCAGCAGGGACAGGGAAGATGGCTAAAATTGATGGGAAGATGGATGGAGCCAAATACAGGACCATTCTGGAAGAAAACCTGTTGGAGTCTGCAAAAGACCTGAGACTGGGAAGGAGATTTATCTTCAAACAGGACAATGATCCAAAACATAAAGCCAAATCTACAATGGAATGGTTCACAAATAGACGTATCCAGGTGTTAGAATGGCCAAGTCAAAGTCCAGACCTGAATCCAATCCAGAATCTGTGGAAAGAGCTGAAGACTGCTGTTCACAAACGCTCTCCATCCAACCTCACTGAGCTCCAGCTGTTTTGCAAGGAAGAATGGGCAAGAATTCCAGTCTCTCGATGTGCAAAGACATACCCCAAGCGACTTGCAGCTGTAATTGCAGCAAAAGGTGGCGCTACAAAGTATTAGCGCAAGGGGGCCGAATAATATTGCACGCCCCACTTTTCAGTTTTTTATTTTATCCAATAAATTTCATTCCACTTCACGATTGTGTCCCACTTGTTGTTGATTCTTGATAAGAAATTTAATTTTTATATCTTTATGTTTGAAGCCTGAAATGTGGCGAAACGTTGAAAGGTTCAAGGGGGCCGAATAATTTCGCAAGGCACTGTACTTTATTAATCTCACACAGGAGAAATGTACTCTTACTGATTGGTGTGCACGCATGGACACACGAACAGACATTTCTTTCTTTCCTGTAAGATGATAGTTTAGACCAGGGGTCGGCAACCTGCGGCTCTTTAGTGGTCCTCGAGTGGCTCCTGGAGCCTTTTCAAAAATACCTGAAAATGGAGTGGGAGGTCTATATTTTATTTCTAGTTTGAATTTGGTTTTTGTAGGAGGAATAACCCTCTTAACGTTTTTAAATGCTGTAAAAATGTGCGTAAGTAATATTCAATTACAACATTTCTGTCAACGTAGTGAGTCATATCCTCTGACGCGGCCCCGCACCAGGCGGCCGCTGTAAACAAACCGGCGTGTGCGCATGGATCCCAAAGCTAAAAAGAGAAAGTCGATAAAAAGACTGGACTAAGAACAAGAGTGAACATTGCTTTCAGTCAATGAGGAGGGACTGCTTCATGTCTGCGTCGTAATGAGAAGTTTTGTTGCAACACGAGGAACAATGAAGCGCTAAACACTGTTCACGGTGATTATGTGAAGGATTCATTCATCACAAATTCAGAGCACCTATTATCAGACTTAACCTCCACAAGGGCGGTGAAAGAAAGGGCCATTAAGGACATTAATTCAGCTCCAGAAAACTTCAGCCTGTGATGGATACGAACAGACAGTGCTGTGATGCAGGTAAACTCTGAGCAAAAAGATTTATTTACTGTATTTCTACAATTCGATGGAAGCAAAAAATTGGAAGTTAAAGCAGAGTTGTCACGTGGTGCGTCATTCTCTCAGGACACGCTGCAGTGAAAACACACATTTGAAAATCATGAATGCTTATTACAATACAATACAATACAATACAATTTATTCTTGTATAGCCCTAGGTCACAACAGAAGTCATCTCAGAGGACTTAACAAAACCATTGAAATCACCAACACAGGTCAGAGAATCAACAGTTAAAACACATGAAGAATACAGTATAAAGCACACACAGAAGAAAATGTCCATACATGTTGTAGAATGCTAAAGTGTCCTGATCATCACCAATCCTTTCTGTTGGACACTAACTGTCCAACAAGACCCTCCTGCATCGACAAGGAAAAACTCTTAAAAAACCCAGTGGGAAAAAGTGAGAAACCTTGGAGGAGAACTAGGGAAACCCACAGGGAGGGAGACCCATATGAGAAAGGGATCCGCTCCTCCGGACGGACAGACTAATGATCCAGGAGCTAAGCTAGCTACAGAACGTGGACCAGTGGACGCTGAACGTGGACAGGTCCGGTGCAGGACTGAAGCACTCCCAGGCGGGTCGGGCGGGGCAGTCCGCAGGTGTAGATGGAAGAGGCCAGGCTCAGAGATCCCGTCATCGTACCATGAAACAGACAATGGGACAACGGGTGAATAGCAATGAACAAACTACAGTCAGAATCCTAAAAATGCTAAACAGATAAAGTAGATAAAGTAGGAAGGAGGAGAGGATAGTGCTCAAGTTACCATACTTCTCCCAGCAAACTGACTCCCTATGCAGCTTGACTAACACTCTGAGGAGTTTAACCTTCTCCGAGTCT